TGTGTTTTAAGTTTTAATTACTGTGCTTAAGAGAGCCATTAAACAAAAATACCTCTAACCTGCAAGCCCCTGGCCCAAGGACAGATACTTACTGAAATGCTATTGTTTATGGGCGATAACAAGCCACATGGTTTCACTCCCCTAAATGAGTTTGACACAAGTACACCAGATGTGCTTGAACACAAGTGGGTGGGAGGTACGTGGGCAGGAAATGCATCAGGATATTCGCTTGCCCATTGGATATTAAGAGAAATACGGTGACCTTATAGGGTTGCCTTTTTAAGCTTCTGCAAAACGTGACTCATGGCCATTTTCTAGGAACCCAGAGATGGACCTAGTTAGAGTCCATCCAACTGGCCAGTATTTAATGAACACTTGCTTCAAATTTGACTGTAAATTGTGGTAGTGGTCTGATTGTGGACTGGCAGGATTAACAGTATGCTTGTAAAAACTCAACAAATGATCGGGCCAGCTCTTCGGTTTTAAAATCTAAAACATATTTTAATATCTGAACACCAAGGCAATACTTGCTTGTGGAATCTTTTATTAACAGATTTTCATAAGCACAATTGTCTGTGTAAGTGTTTGAAGAATTATAGATTTTCATTCGGAGCCATCTGTGGGCTTGTAAGGCAAACACCAAAGAAGTAGAGCAGAGAAGACAATCCCTATAGGAATATTACTCCTAGATATCAAACGCCACAGCGCTCATCTCAAAGGGGATGAGAGAGTTTATTCCAGAGTCATTTGCGTGACTATGGCTTGGGAACACAGATTTAGTTCACCTCAAATTCGTGTTCCAGCGTGGAAGCAGTTTCACGAAGCTTTTATAGTTTTACAGGACAAAGAGCATCATAAATCAAGGCAAGTTTAAAATACACCGGAGGGTACACCAGAGAGGCAGGAGCAGCAAGATGGGGGAAGTTTCCCTCCAGGCTGGAGATGCTCTGTGATGACATTCTTAGCTTTGGACTGGAGGAGTCTGGTTGTCTGCTAGGATAATAGATTCTAAAAGATTTCTATCTGTTAGTCTCAAGATGTTAGTTCCAACACACGTGGCAAGGAATGGCTGTCCCTGAGGGCTAGAACTGGCCCAAGATAAGGTAACTAACCTCTAGACCTGCAACATTCCAACCTCTCTGCAGAACTGAAAATCTAATCGGTCCATCAGCAGACACAGCCTCTTTTCAGGAGGTTTCATTTACAATCTTTTTTTTTTTTTTTTTTTTTTTAAATCATGGTAGCCCTTGCATCCAGAGTTGCCATCTGGCAAAACTGTGAACGCTCATCTGACGGCCCCTTCTGTCTCTGCTCAACCGGCGCCCCATAAGCTGAGCGAGCACCTGTAATGAACTGCTTCAACTCCACGTTTCTTTCCCTCAACCATGTAACGAAGAAGAGATCTCTCTGTAACACCGAGGAGGGAATCAACACAAAAGACGCAAGCTGGGCTGATCTTCCTGCAATAACGTGAGAGAAGAGGCTTCCTTCAGCCGGCAGCGTCTCCTGCTTCTTCTGCCGGTCTTTTTCCCTTAGCTCTGTCCTGCCTGTACTTCTGTCCATCTTTGTATTTGTTTGTTAACCTAATTCTTAATATTCGCTACTGTCAACTTTCCCACGGTCAGGCATAGAGGACGAGCCTTAAGCCTGGTCGATGTTGTGGCCCCTGACTGTCCCTGTTGGTTCCACAACACCAGTATCCCACTGCCTCCAGCTCCTCTTCACTCCTTCTGCCGGGCGCAGTGGTGGGCGGAGCCAGATCCCGAGCCTCGCTGTGGTTGGTGGTGTCCTAGCAACCGCGACGATGCGGTCGTCAACAGAGACTGGACTCCTGCAACCCTGCTCCCCGGGACCAGGGACCCTTCGCCAGCGCCAGCGGGAGTCACAGCCTTGTCCAGCAGTGGGATGCTGGTCGCGCCTTCCTGCTCGGGTCAGCGAGTCCCTGGAGGGTGGGAGGGACTCTGCTGAACTCGAGCTGCCTGGCTTTGCGGCTGACAGATTACCTAGTAAGTGTGGGACATCTTTCTTCCAGGTCAGAGCCTTCCAGGTTTCCAGCCGGTTGTGTAGGGAAAAACAAGTGTGCAGTTTCCAAGCTGGTCTCGCTTCTGCTGAGAAAGAGCAGCGGCCAGGATAAGTAGGTTTCAGAGTCAGGGTCGCAGACATGTATGAGCCCTTCTTACACAGAGGGCTTTCGCCGTCCTCACTCCCTGCAGAATCTCAGCCATTTGGTGGACAACAAGCTCCTTAAGGCATGTCTGTCCACAAGCTAACAGTAATCAGAGGGTGTAGCACACTAATCAGTATATTAGAAACTTATTTCTAAGAAGCAATGATAGAAACTAAGAACCCAAATCCAAAGCAAATTTTCTTGAGCGGAAGCTGTTTGCAATTTTCAGTCTGGCGAAAGCCTTTGATTGCCTCCAGTTCAATTCTTCTGAGATGTTCACCCACACATCACTTTCTCTTTTTAATATGGACATTTAACTTCGTGTAGTCATTCCTTCCATCCTCTTAGGAGCTCCCCGCTTCTTCTCATTGATGACCTGCACCACAGAAGCACTCAGACTCTTAGATATTCAGTTCTCAGTCTTGTTCTCTCAGCAACGAGACAGACCATTTCGATCTCCTTAACTCTGCCCACGTTTTTCTGAGGTGATGACCTGAGCCTAGCTTTGCCTTTTAAGGTCAGAAAGATGGGGTGAGGGGTTGTTAAGAATTGTAACAGGCTACAACATAGAACATCATCTTGGCTTCCTTTCTTCCCAGAAGAATCAGAGTTCAGAGCGCCCACAACACACCCCACACCCACCCCAGCCCAGATTTTCTTTTTTAGAAACTAGTAAAGACAAAGGAAGTTTGGAGGTGTTGATTATGAAGTTTACCAAGGGTCTAACCTGAATTAATGGAGTCTAAGTTAGACTCTGGCCAAGGGCATGGACAGCGATGGGATGTCTCTTGGCTTCTCACTATGGGCAGACCAACATCAGACATAGAAGGGCTCTTACTTCTTTTGGTTGAGGCTTTTGGATTTGTGCACTGCCCCCCCCCCCGTGTGTGTGTGTGTGTGTGTGTGTGTGTGTGTGTGTGTGTGTGTGTAGCCCTAGGCTGGCTTCAAGCTCACAGTCCTCCTGCTTCAGTCTCCCAGTGTTGAGATTACAGGTTTTGACCATTTTAATCTTTCTGTTTTCCCAGGAGCTTTGCCTGACCATGGCTTCAGCTCAGGCTTTACTTCCTTCCTATACTCAGGAAATCCTTGAACTCTATGGCTTGTTAGACAATTCTAATTTTAAAAACTGAGGACAGCCAGAGGTGGTAGTGTATACTTGTAATCCCAGCACTCAGGAGGCTAGGGCAGGGGATGCTACAAGTTCAAGGCTGGCCTGAGCTACATAGTCAGACTCTGTCTCAAAACATCAAAAACCAAACCAACAAAAACCCTACCACTAGTAACAAATTATCTCACACTGTAGAGCAGTGCCCATCAGTGATAATATTGACTTCTGAGCTTCCTTGCCTCAGAGGAAACTCCTGAGTAATCACACTAAACAAACAGCATAGTCACACCCAGAAAACAGTGTGTCTGTGTTTAAAAGGATAGCTATTTCCTGATCATAACTTTCCTAGAACCTGATCTTTGCCTTGCTTGAAGACAATCAGGATTTTCTCAGTTGCTGTGAGTGGTAGATTTAACTCATCTCAATACTATATGTTGTGCATATTACACAATAATGTACTGACAACATTCATATATAGCCTATCTCTGTAGCCATCAAACTTCATTTTAGTCTAGAGAGGACAGACCTGTGTCTGAGGCCACAGGGAAGAAGCCTCAAAGTAAAAACTAGACTTTGGGGGCTGGAGAGACAGCTCAATGGTTTAAAAGAGTCGCTATTCTTCCAGAGAACCCAGTTTTGGTTCTCAGTCTGTAATTTTTGGCTCCAGGATTTCCAAGGGCACCTGCACACATGTGGCAAACAGACAGACACATAAATACATTTTTCCCCCCAAGGTAGGTAGGCTTTTGAGGCTTGCTCAGAGCGGTCTTAGAGGTTAGTGAAGGAAGAAGCCCTTGAAACAGGGGCTGAAGGTTAAGACTCCACACTGGGCAATGGCTGTCAGCCTGGAGAGGAAAGCAGGGGGGCTATGTGTGGAGGACACTGGTTAGGCCCGTGCCCCTGCGGGCTTCCTTGGTCTGACAGACAGCCCTTCATCCCCTCTGTTGGGAGATACTTTCTCTCCTCATCTTCTCTGGCTCCGGTTCACTTGCCAGATCCTTTCTCTTCAGGTGTATAAACCTTCTCAGGCTATAAAACCCCAGTGACTCACACAGCTCCTCAGCTCCGACAGAGCCAGCCACGTCTTCTAAAGAATTAACTTTACGTAAAGTAAAGTCGTCCAAGCCCCCAAAGGGGCTGGGACATGTGCTGTAACCAAGTTGGAGGATTCAGTTGCTTTGTAAAGGATCCAAGCACATGTTCTTTTTAATTGAATGAAAATTCAAACAAATTAAAGAATGTTTCCCTTTGGCTTAAAAAACCAAAGGCGTGCCTCTTTGTACCAGTCTTTAAGGTTGTAAATGTCTGTGAGAAAACCTAATTAGGGTGGTTTGTATAAAAGCACTCCCTTTAAAACCTAAGGCAAGTCGTCTCAGTGGACAGATCTTCAAAAACAGGTTCAAGCATATTGGTCTGCGCTTGTCTCCATGCTCTCTGATTTATTCTAGACGTCACAGCCCAGGATGATTGGATATTAGGGATTAGAGAAATCCCTGGAGGGGTTGGGGAGTTGGCTCAGTTAGTACAGTATTTGCTGCTGGGACATAGGCATTCGAGTTTGGATCCTCAGCGCCCTTGTAAAAAGCCTGGTGCAGGGACACCACCTGCAATTCCAGCCTTGGGAGGCAGAGACAGGAGGATTCCTGGAATTCCACGGCTAGTCAGTCTAGCCAATGGGTGAACTCCAGGCCCAGGGAGAGACCCTGTCTCAAACTGTAAGGTGGAGAGTGATTTGTGAAGATATCAACTTTGGCTTCTGGTTTCCATATGCACACACACACATACACACACACACACACACACACACCATACACTATGCACACACACAGAAAAAGTGCTTGGAGTAAAAGTGTATCATGAAACAAAGACAGTTACTAGAAAAAAATACTTTTTTTTTTTTTAAATTAGCTCTTTCCCAAAGATTAAGTGCTTCTACACACACAATACAAATTTGGGCACAGCAGCCTCGGATTACTGTGTCATGCAGGTGCGTTATTCTAGAGGGGCGAAGTCAGTTGCTATAGTAACAGGACAGGCTTATGCTGAAGTTTGCTAGGAATTTGTTTGATTTTTGTTTTGTTATTGAGACACAGTCTCATTATGTGCCTCAGCTGGCAACCAAATCTCAACCCTCCTGCCCCAGTCTCCCGAGTGCTGGCATTACAGGCATGGAGCACCACTGTTGGCTCTCGCTGAGTTTTGATTCTAATGTTTCCCCCGATCATGATGCTCTTCAAGTCATCTTGTTATGCATCCACTGAAATGAGTCTTGTAACCTTGTCCCCGACAAGGTAAGAGTCTCCCCAACCATGTGGATTTGCAGACCGTTGGAAGTGACCCTCTATGGATAGCACAAATTCACAGAAACACGGAATCATTATCACTCACAGCTTGGGAGCTGAGCCCGCGGCATGAGAATCAAGGTTAGTGCTCTCTGCCTGAGGCCTCGGAAGTCACACTAGAGAGCACTTCGCTCGAATGGTAACAAAGTGGCTAAGGAATGGCTTTGAATCCCGATCCTGTTGCTCACTGGCTATGACAGAACCTGTGAAAAAGCTCCTTAAATTCTCAAGGCTTCTGATTCGTCGGGCGCAAGCAGGGTGTTAACACCGCTTCACCGAGGTGTTCAAGAGCGATCTGTGAGGAAGTGCAAAAGAAAGCGCTCAGCCCAAAGGCTGAGGACAAAAGGAAGCTGCTGCTGCGGATGTTTGTTCCTACCATAATAGAAGTCTTAGAACAGGGACTCTTAAGTTGAAGGGCCCGGGCCAGACTCTCAGGCAGTTCTCTCACTGGCTGTGAGATGGTGAGCCAGTCTGTTTACCCTCCCTGTCTTGGTTTCTGCATCCCTAACATGAGTCCTATCTATCTCATAAGGCTGTTTCGGATTGATTTTCTTAAAATTTAAATTAAATATTACACGTATCCAGATGTATCAGAGTGTGGGTTCATGCACACGAATGCAGTACTCTTGGAGGCTGGAAGAGGGTGTCAGATCCCTTAGAGCCCTTGTGAGCTATCCAGTTTGAGTGAGTCCTCTGAACAGAACATTTCCTTAACCACTGAGCCATCCCACTCATAAGGTTGTTATAAGAATGTATGCTGTACTGTACATGTCAAAGCATTAAGTGTGTGCTATTCACTCTTCTAACTTCTAACTTCTTAAATCGTCGCTGGCTTGGGGCCACCTGATTTTTGTGCTTGACTAAATTTCCATGTCATAACACTAAGATTTTGAAGAAAATTAGTTTCATTTTTTTATTTATATATTTTTTAAAAGATTTATTTTCACATGTACGCATATGTGTGCATGTGTGTCTGTGAGTATATGTGAGGATGTGTGGGCGACACTCTTGGCTGGTCACAAGAGGGTTAGGATCTGCACTCCTATCCTCATGATGTAACAATCACTTAACTGGGGCCACCTCTCCAGTCCCTAGAAATCGAGGTTTGGAAATTGGAGAGGGGAGTCTGTTTGTTATTGAGAAGGCTTCACAGTCTTGGGAAACCAATTTTTAAACACCGAACACTGGATGTACGGTAATTAGAGCCTTCTAGTTGCACCCAGTTATTGATATCAATTGGCGGACTCTGGTCTTACAAGGTTACACTGGCTCCCTGTCTCAGGCCCTGCCCAGCTGTGCAGGTTAAGACTGTATTACAGTTCGGGCAGTCTCTTCCTCTTGAGGACACTAGCTATATTTAGGTCAGTTGAGATGAGTTTAATATGCTGCATATTGCTTTGAGTCCAGTTGATCCCAGAACAGCTGGTTCCACTAGCCAGAATGATGAAGTCCAATGTTAGAGCGAAGCCCCAGAAAACAAAGCGTTCGGGATGTAGAGCTGTGTGTTTAGTGGAGTTGACCTGCCATCACCTCCAGTTAGCTAGTCCACCTCGGTTTTTTTTTTTTTTTTCTTCTCGGTTTTTTTTTTTTTTTTCTCTCTTCTTTATCCTTGGGTTCAAAATATTCTGTGTGAATATAATCAGCATGCAGGTGTGTAATATGCCTTCCAGGGACTGTGTTTATTTTCCAAAATGGAAGAGTCCTGTATTTTTCTAGTTATAAAAATAAATCCCATTTTAGAAATGTTCAAATAATGCAAAAACTGAAACACCATGGGAAAGACAAAGACTGCACATCCTTCTACTGCAGACCCATTGGTGTTTATCTTTCTAGATGCTTCACAGCACACATTTATGTACATATATAATGTATGGATACCACCTGGTAGTATGCATCAATACTGTCATTTCAATGGGTAAATAAAATCCCACTTCATCACTATACTATATTTCACTATTTTATAGTAAATATTTACTGTTTTACAGTAAGTCAATGGTGATGTCGATGTTAGATCCTTACCCCGCCATGTTTTCAGAAGCCCTGAGCTTGACAATTTTCCTTGCAGGAGGTCCCTTGTGACTCGGGTCTTGACTTAGAGATGGAGGAATTAGGATCATCTTCCTCTGTCGTCCCGGAGGAATAGCCGCAGAGGCTGGAGAGACAGAACAACACCAAGACAGGCATGGCAGAGCAGAGTCTCATCTCGTCTGAGCAATGGCTTCAGCTGCATGGGCTTAAGAGCAAGAAGCTGACCTTGAAGCAGATCTTGACACAGATTGGATTCCCACAGTGTGAAGGTACAGTACTCACAGATGGCCTTCAGGGAGCCTACCTCAGCTCCTGAGAGATCACAGGCCTCTGCACTTGTTTGGATTCCACATCTCTGTCAGGGGAAAATACTTGTGGTCCACCCCAATATATACACATCATATAGAAATACAACTATAACTGCACAGATTCAATATTAGTGCTGCTTTACTTCATTTGTGTGTATGTATACGTGTGTATGCACATGTGTGTGGATGTGCACGTGTGTGTAGGCCAGAGAAGTACGTCAGGTGTTGCCCTCTATTTCTATATTCCTTATTTCCTCAAGACAAGGTCTCTCACTGAACCTGGAGCTCACAGCTTTTTACGATCAACTTCTGTCAAAATTTTGGTCTCCTATTTCCCACCCTCAGCATTGGCGCGCTGGCTAGTCTTCTGTCAACTTGACACAAGCTAGAGTTATCTGAAAGGAGGGAACCTCAATTGAGAAAATGCCTCCAGAAGAGTTGGCTGTAAGGCATTTTCTTAACTAGTGATTGATGAAGGGAGGGCCTTGCCAGTTGTGGGTGATACCATCCCTGGGCTGGTGGTCCTGGGTTCTATAAGAAAGCAGGCTGAACAAGCCATGTGGAGCAAGCCCATAAGCAGCATCTCTGCATCAGCTCCTGCCTCCAGGTTCCTGCCCTGTTTGAGTTCCTGTCCTGGCTTCCTTCAGTGATGGACTACAATGTGGAAGTGTGAGTCAAATAAACCCTTTCCTTCCCAACTTGCTTTTTGGTCATGGTGTTTTGTTGCAGCTCTAGAAACCCTAACTAAAACAACTGAGGTTACAGGTATGTGTAGACATGCCCGGCTTTTTTACATGGGTTCTTGGGGGGCATCAAAACTCAAGACCTTATTCTTATGCAGCAAGTACTCTAACCCCTAAGCCCTCTTCCAAACACCATTAGTTTCATTCTTTGTGTTTGGGGGAGTTGTGTGTATATGTGTGCTACATGTGTATGTGTGTAAGTATGTGAGGGGATAAGATTTCCGCATCGTGTCTTGACTCCATTTTAATTAATTAGTTAGCTAATTAATTAATAATTTGGCTGGGTGTGGATACCCACTGGATACCGCATTGACTTGAGGCATTACAGAGACGTGAGACCTGGAAACCAGACCTTTGATCCCTGTACTTGGGAGGCAGAGGCATGCAAATCTGTGAGTTCAAGGACAGCCTGGTCTATATAGAGAGTTCCAGGCCAGCCTGGGCTACATAATGAGGCCCTGTCTCAAAAAACCATTTTCATTACATTTTATTTATTTAGCTGGGTGGTGGGGTCAGTTCTCTCCTTTCATGACGTGGGTCCTGGAGATCGGGCTCAGGTCCCCAGGTTTGGTGGCAAAGTCCCTTTACCTGCTTTATTGTTTGAAACAGGAACTCTCATTGAATCCGAACTCCTGCAGTTGGCTGGGCTGGCAGCCAGTGGGCTCTGGAGAACCAGCTCTCTCCACCCCTCCAGTGCTGGGACTAAAGGTGTGCACCACCCTGCCCCATGCCTTGCCCAGTGCTGAAGATCTGAGCTCAGGTCCTCACGTTTCTTTGGCAAGCACTTTACCAACAGAGCCGTTGTCTCAGCCCCAATTTAATTCTTTGTAATGGAAAGGCAGAAATTACTTTTATTTACTCACGCCCCAGCAGAGGTCTTGATTATCGTCTGGGATTCACAAGTCCCTTTCAGGTGGATGGAAGTAATTGCTTTATTGATTAAGACAGTAGCTGTGTACTGTCTCGGGAAGAATGTGCATTTCTTCTTCAATGGTCTAATGGTTCATCCATTTTTTCAGTTTTAAAAAATGAATTTATTTCTTGTGCATGTGTGTCCACGTGAGGGTGTGAGTGTGCATACGTGGAGGTCAGAGGACAACTTGTGGGACTCAGCTTTCTCCTTTTCCCACGTGGGTTCTGTGGATCCAACTCAGGTTGTCAGGCTGACAGCAAGCATGGTCATCTGCTGGTCCATCTCACCAGCCCAGATGAATATGTTTCCAAATGTTCTAGCTGCCATGCTGGTTCTTATCTCTCGGTAATGAACATGTGTGAGAGTATTTTTATTTGTATTTTTTGGATACCGCATTGACTTGAGGCATTACTGAGATGTGAGACCTGGAAACCAGCACCACTGAGTGTCAGTGTGAGAGACAGCCCACTGCACGGGAAGTACGTTCTTCAACACATCTGTAACGTGGTATATGAAAGGCATACCCTTAGGACAATTCCAATTATTAGGCAATTCCGAATTAGTCTACAAAACAAATATTTATTCAGCAGCCAGCAATACCATGTTTTGAATCTGAATTCCTCGCCATCTCTCTTGGCAGCTAGTCCTGTGGCAGTTGTTTGAAGTCTAGGTCATGCGGTTGCTACAGGCTGACCTGGAGTCCCCTGAATGCAATACTTTGCTCTCCAGTGCTCTGCCTTCTTGTGTATTCCCTCTCGTGAGCTAGCACGGCTGTGTGCTATTTACATACTTATAGGCTGGGAGTTTGCCTATGGTTTTCTAATATATTAAGAAAATATTGTTGATGATATTCTTTAATGGGCTTTTATTGTTTGTAGAATCTACATCAATGCCACCTTTTATTTCTAATATTCATGATTTTCATTTCTCTTTATAAATAATTTTATTTATTTATTTATTTATTTATTTATTTATTTATTTATTTTTACTTTTGTTTTTCAAGACAGGGTTTTTTTGTGTAGCTCTGGCTATCCTGGACTTCACTCTGTAGACCAGGCTGGCTTCAAACTCACAGAGATCCACCTGACTCTGCCTCCTGAGTGCTGGGATTTTATTATTGTTTTTTTTTTTTTCTTAGAAATGTTCTATTTTATTTAGTTTTTATTTTTCTTGAGGCAGGGTCTCCGGTTTTTCAAGACAGGGTTTCTCTGTGTAGCCTTGGCTGTCTTGAACTCACTCTGTAGCCCAGGCTGGCCTTGAACCCACAGAGATCCTCCTGCTTCTGCCTCCCAAGTGCTGGGATTAAAAGCGTTCACTGCCTCACCCTGTTTGTTCTCATTCTTTGAGAGATGTCTTGCTATATAGTCCAGGCTAACCTGGAATTTGCATTGTGACTCAAACTGGTCTTGAACTCTCCATTGTTAGTAGTGTTCTCACCATTTACTGAGTTAAAAATATCTTTGTGTGTGGTTCTTTTCTTGGATACATTTGTTTTTCAGAATTGTGTTATTTACTTGCCAGGTATCTTAGGACTTGTAAAGATATCTTGTTCGAGATGATTTTTACACTAAACGCTATTGAGTCCACAGAATATCACCTGTGAATTTTCAGGCTCTGGATCTGTGTCTCACCATCTACTGTGGTGAATGCCCCACCCCCATACAAAAGAATGAGTGTTCCACATTGTTCGAGAATATTTGTAAGTGTTGTTTAGGTCAAGAGCATTGAGAGTGCGTTGTCCATATATTTAGTAATTTTTGTGAATGAATTTACCCTTAGTTTGGTCGGGTTTTGTTCCTGCGTTAAACCCAGGGGCTAATGCATGCTGTACCAGTGTCCTACCACTGAACCCACCCCAGTTGTCCACCGTTTAAAAGCCATTGCTGCCTGTTTCTTCCTCATTCTTACTTCACAAGCTGGAGACCACACTGAAGGCCCTGCCCCTTTTCATATCTGTCAGCCTATTTTTGTATCTTTTGTTTAGACTGGATTTTTTTTTTATTGCTCTGTCTTCAAGTTCATTTATTCTTGGTTTTGCTCCTGAGCCCATACACTGAGTTTTAAATTTTGATTATTCTATTTTTTTTTTTTTAAAAGAACATTTAGCAAGGGAATGTGGCTCATTTCTCCTTTCTATCTTGAAAAAAATTTATTAGTGGCAAAATAATGGGTTTTGTGACACTTCCATACATACATTTAATGTTCTTTGACTGTATTCTCACCCCTATAACCCTCTTATAACCTCTCTTTACCTCCCAAATAGTCTCCATTCTTTTGAATGTTCTCTAGTCCTTGATTACTCTGCATGTGAGAGAAAATGCGATCCTTATCTTTCTGAGCCTGGCTTATTTCACTTAACACGATGTCCTCTGATTCTGTCATCAGCACAACTGCTTTCTTCTTTCTGCTTAAATGATACTCCACTGGATGCACACCGCATCTTCTCTGTGCATTGGCTCGCTCACCAATGGGCACAGCGGGCTCTGTAGCTTTAGCTCTTGAGAACAGGGCTGTGGGGAATGAAGGTGTGACAGTGTTCCTGTTGCCAGCTGACTAATTCCCTCAGGCACGTACCTGGCAGTGGTACCCGGATTATGTAGTAATTCTGTTCTTAGTGTTTTGAGAACCTCCATCCGATCATGGCTGGACTGACTTACGTCCCCACCAGCAGCACACAGATCCCCTTGTCCCTGCACGCCTGCCAGAATCTCTGGGCTGGTGTTTTCTGCATGATAGCCATTTGGATTGAGGTGAGATGGAACGTCTGCTTAGTTTTGATTCGCATTTCTCTGATGACTAAAGAGGTTAAACATTTTTTTTTTCATATAGTTATTGGTTAATTGTACTTCATTTGAAGCATCTGTTTATTTGGTCATTTGTTGATTGGATTATTTGTTCTTTGGGTGTTCATAGTTTTTTTAAAAAAATTATTTCTCTGTGTGTGCATGCATTTGTGTGTGTGTGTGTGTGTGTGTGTGTGTGTGATGTGTATGTGCATGTGTGTGTGCACGCACATGCACAGGTGCCACAGTGTGAATGGGGAGGCCAGAGGATAATTTGCTGGAGTTGGTTCTCTTCTTCCAGGGATCAAGCTCAGTTAGGCTTGGCAGTGAGCATCTTTACTAGACGAGCTATCTTGCCTGCCCATTGTTTTTCTTTTGAGTGTGTGTGTGTGTGTTTATGATTTCTTGTATCTTATCAGAACAGAATGACATGAAACAAGAAATCAACAGCAAGAGAACGGTAGAAATTATACAAGCACACAATATTTGAACAACATAATTTTGGACAATCAGTGGGTCATTGAAGAAATCAAGGAGGGACTCCTAAAAGCTCTCTACAGTCATGGGGACAGCAGCACAGCCTTCCAGCACCTGGAGGACGCAGTGAAGGGAGCTCTAAGCGGGGAGGTTTATAGCTCTAAGTGCTCACATTAAAAGCAGACAGGAGCTGGAGAGGTGGCTCGGCAGGGGAGAATATCAGAGTTTGATTCCAGACCACGTGGTGGCTCACACCATCTGTAACTCCAGTCCCAGGGAGTCCAACTCCCTCTTCCTGCCAATTTGGGCACCAGGCATACATGTAGTGCACAGACACACATGCAGGTAAAACACACACATCTGAAAAAGAAGGAGACAGAAAAAGAGAGGGAAGAGAAGGCATAGGAGCAGCAGGGGGCGGAGTCAGCGGAGCAGGGGGAGTCAGATGAGGGGGGCAGAGGAAGAGGAAAAGGAGGAGTCAGATGGGGCGGAGTCAGAGAAGCAGGAGGAAGAGTCAGAGGAGGGGGGTGGAGTCAGAGGAGCAGGGGGCAGAGGAAGAGGAAAAGGAGGAGTCAGATGGGGCGGAGTCAGAGGAGCAGGAGGAGGAGTCAGGGATG